AGTACTAAACTATCATTAATTAAATTATTAGTTAATGAATATAAACTAGATCCTCAAGTTAAAACTGGTGATGGTATGCAAGCAGTTCATTTTGCAGCTGAAGTTGGTGCTATTGATGTCTTAGAGTATTTAGTAAAAGATTGTGAATGTGATTTGGATAGAGTAGACGGAGCAGCTAAAATGAGTGTGCTCCATTATTCTACATTGAATGGTCACTTTTCATTTATTAAGTATATTATTAATAATTATCCACAATATACTAGTCTATTAAATTCTACTGATGATAATAATGGTTTACCTATCCAACATGCCTGTGTTGGTAGTGGTTTAATACAACTAGTGACATTTCTATTTAAAATGAAATGTGATTTCACTATTGAAGATAAAGATAGCTACAATTGTGTGACATGGGCATGTGAAAATGGTAATCTTGATCTTTTAAGATTATTAATAAAACAATACAAACTCAATCCTAAAATATTTGACAGGGCAACTTCACCAGAAGCTGCAGTAGCAGCTGGACATGTTCATATACTAGAATGGCTAAGACATGAGTATCATATCAATGTAGCCTCATTCAAGAATGGTTTATTACCTTTTCTTGCTGCAAAATACAACCATTTGTATTGTTTAAAGCATTTATTAAACAATTATTCATTTGATATTAATGCCACTGATCCTACTGGTAATACTCAATCTACACTCCTTCACATAGCATGTCAGGAAGGACATGTTGCTATAGTTCTCTACCTCACTAGTCTTCCTCAGTGTGACGTATCAGCTAAAACTTCAAATGGATCAACAACTCTTCATTTATCATGTAAAAGTCATTCTCTTCCTACACTCAAACATCTAGTGGAGGAGCATCAGTTGGATCTCACTATTAAAGATTACAATGGAATGGCTCCAGTTCATTTAGCCTGTGAAGAAGGATCATTGAGTATAGTCAAGTACATTATAGACCATTCACCATTATCTCTTGATATGACCGACTCTTTTGGACGTACTCCACTACTTATTGCAGCTTTCTCTAAGAACCTTCCCATCATTCGTTACCTCAACAGTAAAAACTGCAACATTTCTATACTGGACGATAAAGGGTTTAATGTAATACACATTTC